CTGGTTTATAATTTCAAATTATAAACCTGGTTCTGGAGCCAGGCTGCCTATGGTTAAATCCCCCTGCTAGCTGTGTGATGTGGGCCAACTTACTTAACTTCAAAGTGCCTCTTAACTCCCTCATCTCAACAACAGAGTACAGTCTCCCCTTTCCTGAGGGTTGTCAAGAAAGGAGTTAATTTTGAATGATATCTGGCATGCAGTAAACACTCTCTAACTTGGTTCTTCCTGTTCTATTGTGCCGGGTGTCTGTGTGGGATGATATATAATTTATGTAACTGTTTGTGATACATCTTAATGTGATACTTATTTCACTTCTTCAAACCACTTTTAACTTTTGACATTTTCTTTCTCTTTTTCACCTGTTTGTTCTTCTGCAGATCTGGATAGGAAGTCCGTTGAATTTGCATGTTACTTCAGAGTCACTAAACACTTTAAAATACTGAGTTTTAAAATCTCAACACATACATGCAAAGTTTGGTAGTTTTCATCAGACAGTTCCTGCTTGTTACTTACGAAGCTTATTCACTGACATTTTCTTTAATATTCATTTCTTCACTCAGTTTGGTTGTCATTGTTTGGGGACAAGCATTTTCTAACTGATACCGTCAATTTAAAAAAAAGAAAAAAAAAAACGGAAAATCCTGTTATCCAAAGTATAAACTACATACTTATCTGAATCATTTTACTTTAACGTTAAACATATTAATGGACATCCATTCATCAACCTTTTGATATAAGCCAAAGGCTTGACTGTCAGTGTGAGTCAGCTGAGTTCGTGTTCCCTGAAGTCAAATGCTCCCTTGTATGTGTTCTATAAGAACTTCAGTTTTAACTTCTCTAACATGGAGTGAAATTTTAGACCCATGTCAATCTGAAGTTTAAATTCTTCAACATTTTATCATGTTCCTTCCCAGTCCATCACAGTGATCTGGCCCATACCTTATTCTGCAACAATTTTTACAACCTGGAATTATCCACATTTGTAATGATCAAGTACTTGCCACGCACCCAATTTTTAGTTTTCATTAAAATAGCTTTCGATTTACAATAGCCTTTTATCATATTGTGTAATATTTAACTAAATTACATAGTTACAAAAATGAGTATAAATGATATGAGCAGGTGTGGGGAAAATCCAACTGATTTGTAAGCCTACAGCTCAATTTGTGGTCATGAGAATGCTTGTACATACTAGGCCAGCGAAGGGTCTCCTGTGTTCACTGTATCACAGGGATCATTAGTACAAGAGGAAAGGGAGAACGTTGGCTAATCCAACAAATGTGAAGTGAAGATTGGCTGAGAGACCCTCAACTACATTTCATGTGGATCTGACCATCGCAATAAATGATCTTATTGGTCTTAATATTTTCCACTGCTTCTGCTGTGCTTTCAGTTAGACACTCAAAGACTGCATCTTTTTCTGCCTTGCAACATTGGGTAGATCATAAAACACAATGCTGAGCAAAATCATTGCTAGCCTTCTCATAACGCTCTATTTTATACTTGGTTGGATTTTGTTTCTTACGTGAATGTGAGGCTATTTTTAACAGAACATAAATGCTATTTATACTTATTTTCATACATGAAATATTTATTTTCACCAGCTGATTTTAAACTAGTTTATGTTTGCTCACATTTCTTTGTTTCCTGGCTTTTGTTCTCTGTATTATATTACTACATACAGACTAGGAAGAGGCGTTAAAGATGCTTCCAGGTTACCAACATTATTCGATTTCTTAACTGAGTAGTGATTTTCCTGGCATATTTACTGTGTAGAAAATGAATCAAGCTGTACACTAAGGTTTTGCAAACCTCCCTGTATGTATGTTGTATTGCAATAAGAAACTTTAGCAAAGACTAAGTACATCCCTTTTTATAATATCAAAAAATATCTACAACTACACAACTCTTTAATTAAATACATGCAAGGCATTGGTTCCTGTCAACTTGGATTAAAAATTCCAAGGGGGAAAAAAAGATATTTCACCAGAAAAAGCTATACATCTTTGCCACTAGAAACTTCTACAACTAAACATTCATCCCATTCATGAAGATTTCCTAGAAAAAAATATATCATACGCTCTGGTGATGAAGAGCCTAAGGCATTTGACTGCTAACCAGAAGGCTGGCGGTTCAAACCCACCAGCCACTCCTCAGAAGGAAGAAGGGGCAATCTACTTCCATAATGATACCACCTTGAAAAACCAGAGAGGGGTCCCTATGAGTCTGAATCAACTCTACAGCAGTGAGTTTGGTTTGGTTTTGGTTTGGTTGACAATTCATTTCCAAGCATTGTGACTGGATACTAGATGCCAAATAGGTGGTTGCAAAAACAATTTCAAATGCCCGTTTTTATCCAGACAACGAAGCAACTCAGCAATTGAAGATGTGGCGTTTTCTATTCTTCTTTTGCAGGAGAAATGCTTGCCTGGAACTCTGTCCTCAACCAGTCCGGCCCCACTGAGTTTGTGTTCCACGTATTCACTGCTGTCCCTGAATTCCAGGCCTTCCTCTTCCTTCTTTTCCTCCTGCTCTACTTGATGATCCTTTGTGGCAACACGGCCATCATCTGCGTGGTGGGCACGCACAGCTCCCTCCGCACCCCAATGTATTTCTTCCTGTCCAATCTGTCTTTCCTAGAGATCTGCTACACCTCTGTAGTGGTGCCCCTGATGCTCTCCAACATTTTTGGGGCCCAGAAGCCCATTCCCCTGGCTGGCTGTGCGGCCCAAATGTTCTTTTTTGTCACACTTGGCAGTACTGACTGCTTTCTCTTGGCGGTTATGGCTTATGACCGCTACGTGGCCATCTGCCACCCCCTGCACTACACCCTCGTCATGACCCAGAAGCTATGCGTCCAGATGGTGGTTGGTGCCATGGCCCTGGCACTCTTCCTCTCCTTGCAGCTCACGGTCTTAATCTTCACGTTGCCCTTCTGTGGGCATCTCCGGGAAATCAACCACTTCCTGTGTGACGTTCCTCCAGTCCTGCGCCTGGCCTGTGCTGACACGCGTGTGCACCAGGCTGTCCTCTATGTGGTTGGCATCCTTGTACTGACTGTCCCTTTCTTGCTTATCTGTGTCTCCTATGTGTTCATCGCGCTGGCCATCCTCCGCATCCGTTCCACTGAAGGCCGCCGCCGGGCCTTCTCCACCTGCTCCTCCCACCTCACGGTGGTCTTGCTGCAGTACGGCTGCTGCAGCCTGGTCTACCTGCGTCCTCGGTCCAGCACCTCAGAGGATGAGGACCGCCACATTGCCCTGGTCTATACCTTTGTCACCCCCCTGCTCAACCCCCTGATTTATACTCTTCGAAACAAGGACGTCAAAGGTGCGCTGAAGAATGTCATCACTGGCAAAACAGCTTCTGATGCCCACTGAAGGCTTAGACAGACCGGGGTTGGTGCCTGTCAGCTGTCATAACAATGAACTCTTTACAATAAATATAGAATTACATTACTTTTCTACATTTTGCACTTGATATTTCTCCTTGGCCATAAATGCCCCAATCGGTACTCACCAGAAATGCTTTGAATTAGATTGGAAGATGTGGACAGCACTTCCAGTAGAGGCAGTTCTAGCCCACCTGTTGTTCCTAGAAGTCACTGAGTCAATCCCTGCCCATTCACAATGGAAGGAAAACGCTGCTGGGCCCTGCAGTGTCCCCACAATTGGTTGCAGATGAGCCCTTTGTAATCTGCTGTAACCCACAGAGCTGTCGTTGATGGACTTTGAGGGGTAGATCGCCAGGCCCCTCTTCCTAGTCCATCTTGGGTTGGACGCTCCACTGAAACCTGTTCAGCGTCATGGCGACACGCAGGCTCCACTGACCGAGATGGAAGCTGCAATGAGATGTGCGTTGACTGGCAGCTGAGCCCAGGTCTCCACGCGAAGCAAGACCTCTGCCACAGAACCACCAGTGCCCTTTCCTCATCTACTTTAATGCCCTTTCCTCATCTACTTTAACGGTTCACAGAAAGGCTCACCCATGGCAACCACTCTATCAGGAAACCCCTATACATGCTGTGAGTAAAGGTTGATACCTTTAGATATCGTTGTTAGGTGCACTGAGTCAGTTTCAACTCATACCTTTTGTCATAAACTAAACCAAACTCTCTGCCGTCAAGTCGGATCCAACTCATAGCGACCCCTCCTTGGGTTTCTGAGGCAGTATCTCTACGGAAATAGATTGCCCAACCTTCCTTCCGAGGAGTGGCTGGTGGGTTGAAACACCAGCCTTCTGGTTAGCAGCCAAATGCCTTGGCACTATGCCACCAGAGCTCCCCCTTTAGACATACTACTTTTTAAATAGGCAATGACATTACTTTATCCTGTGAAAGATGCCTTAGTAAGATATATTCATGAAGACACATGTTACTCAAAGAAACATTTTATTAATGTTTTAGATATTAATGTATGACAAACAATAGCTGACTCAATGCATTATTTCCTTCATTCTATAGTTCCCATCTGGTCACCCCTTCCCTCTTTTATCATGCCGCCATACCAGGAAAGGGACAGGAATAGTCATTCATTGCCTAAGCACATATACGGTACAGTAAAACCTGCTAATCTGGAACCTGTGAAAGGAAACGTGTCAGAGAAGGAAAACTCAAATATTTTCTGCTAATAGAAAGTGATAGAAAAGTGGTAAGATTGTACCCTGTCAAAGGCAGAAAACTTGCCAGACCCAGAAAAAGAAAGCAGCCCCATCAAGATCGGGCTCTCACAGATCTCACGGTACTAGCCACGCTAGGCTGATTGAAGGCTACATCTGGTCGATGTTAGCAGCTCCTTCTTGAGGTGTGATGGTGGCACTCAGTTTGCCTCTGACCTCTTCTCTGGACTTCCTAACGGCTGCTGCTTATAAGAGCCACCCAGCAGGTGGCGCCACGGCTTCTCCCACCTCACCATGGTCCTGCAGCAGTAAGAGTTGTTGCATCTTTTCCTATGTGTGCCCAGATAAACCTCGAGCAGAATCAACTTCCCTCTCCGAGGTTCCAAGCAGGCTCCCTCCTGCTCAATGTTCTCACTTACACCCTGAGGAGCAATGAGATGAAGAGGGATCCTGAGAGAGTTCTCACCAGGAATTCCTTTCTCAGAAGAGCTGCAGAGGCAGCAGGGGTCTTGATGGGGCCCATAACACTGATTTTAGTTAGCAGTTCCAGGAAGAGCACTGGACTGTCTGCAGAAGGCAACAAAACAGATCTAAGAACTGATACAACTTTTCTGGAGGTCATTTGGCCAAGTAGAGCAAAGACCTATTTTCTGTATTCATAATATTCTAAAAGCACACACTCAGGAAACTGACAGAACTGAAAGTATTACACTTAGAAAAATGAAAAATTATTAAAATCTAATTATCCAACATAACCACAGCAGACTTAAGATCATTTTAAAATAATATTTACTAACAAAGGGTAATAGTTAGTTACAATTATACCTGAGGGTGACAAAAGCAAGATACAAACCAGGATTTTCAGTAGGACTCCGATTTTGTAACCATATGTACAAACACACGTTATGATGAATAGAGATGCAGCAAAAATGGAACAGTTGTTATCTGTGGTTTGTAGAACTATGGATTTTTTTCCCTTTTTTATCCATTTAGGTATTCTCTATGCTTTCTAAAGTAAGTTTTATTACTATCATAAAAACAAAAACAACACAACGCACTGCTGTCAAGTTGGATCTGACTCATAGCGACCACTCCCTGGGTTTCTGAGGGGGTATCACTAAGGAAGTAGATTGCCCAACCTTCCTTCCGAGGAGTGGCCGGTGGGTTTGAACCACCAGACTTTTGGTTAGCAGTCTAATGCCTTAAGCTCTGCACCACTCTTATAAGCAGGAAAAATAATCATTTCTAAAAGAAGTCACAGGAATCAGATTGACTACATCTGTGGCAAGAGGTGGTGGAAAAGCTCAATATCTTCAGCCAAAACCAGGCCAGGAGCTGATTATGGAACAGACCATCAACTGCTCATAGGCAAATTCAATTTGAAGTTAAAGACAATGAAAACAACTCCAAGAGAGCGAAAGTAT